CTCTTCTGTGCTCTTTCTGTCTTCTTGTGGGCCTTGGTGTCAAAAAATTATCATCTCAAGTTGATTTGCTTTGTTTCCGTCTCTTCTGTGCTCTTTGTGCCTCCCATGCACCTCGTAGTGATGCAAGTGGTGCTGTGGAATGCCCCCGACTTTTTTAGCATTTTCTCTGTCATTTTTGTATCCGATGCCCTTGTGGAAAGTCGGGGCCCAGTTTGTGAAAAAACATTGCATTCATGATGCCAAAAAGTCTTATTTTTTGCTGTGTTTTACAGTGTTTCGTTAATCTCAACATACTGCCTCAAGACACCCAAAAGTCTGCAAATCGAAATCTCGAACTTTCACAACCCCCCCCCAGCAAAACCTACCGGGGAGAAACTCAAAGCGATATTCATCGCTTTCCGTCATCAGCTTGGCCCCCCCCCCACCCCCCCCTTTCGGTAATACTTCCAAGCGCTACAGCGCTTTCCGTCAAAACCTGGTTGGATCTCGACTCTCACTTGTTGGGGATTGTTCCACTTGAGGGGATTTGGATGGATCGAGGGAATCTTTTGTCACGGCTCTTGATTGCTCACACGTTCCTCTCCCCTTGCGGATTCGAGGGTTTCAAAGTTGCCGTCAAAGCACGATTGCTGCCTCTGTTGTCACACTTCACCACCAAAAAGCCTTTGCTTCGCAAGGCCTGCGCCCTCAAATCTGCCGTCATGCCCCAGTTGTTGGAGATGAACTGCACATGTGGACCTCCATAGCAAGAGACCACTGTCGGGTAGGGTCCAGGTCCAAACTTCGACGCGTCTGGCTTGTAGACAGCACCTTGCAAGGTAACCTTCCCATCCGTGGAGGGAACCGTAAAAAGCTCAGGTGGCTTCATGTTCAAGGTCGGGATAAGAGGGTCTTCATTCTTGTCCTCAGCTGGAAAAGTCATCCGTCGCCGCTTACAATCATCATCAAGAGCGAGGACCGTCCAATGTCCCAAACCATGTGACAAGTGGCGACAAACTGTTCCAGGCAATCATGCTTCCCATTGCATCACAACTGACAACAGTGACTACAGTGACTGGTGGTGGCTAATATATATATATATAATATAGAGAGAGAGAGCCTATATAAATGGATGCTCCCTGCGTTCACTATCTAGCGCATGTCCCTTGCATCAGTGAATCGCTGCAAGAAATCGCTCGGGCTTTCCAAGCGTCGATGGTGCAAATCTCTCCGCCATCGCTCAACTTCCGTAGCTTTGCTGAGGCTGGACGGTCCATGGCTGAGGAGACGTCCACAAAACACTTGCACTGCCTGAAGGTCAGGTGTGGGACTGGGCATGCGAATGGTGGAGGTTCAGGAAGGCAAAAAGCAGAACGAAAGAAAGAAAGAACGAAAGAAAGAAAGACGAAAGAACAAAAGAGTTGTGTTTTTTTCCTAATGCCTTTTACTGGCGCCTATGCCAGGCCTACTTTCTGCCTACGCCCTCACAGTGTTGGCCTACGCGCAGGTCAAAGTTGGGATAGGTTGCCTACGCGGCCTACGCGCGTGGAGTTGTTGTTAATCACTGCGTGGTTTTGCCTACGCGGCTACAGTTTTGGAAGCTTTTCGTTGTTGCTCATACGCAGCTAGTATTGCCTACTCCTATCCAGGTAGCTTTAGACATATTGAGAAGTCATACGTACTAAAGTCTTCCTGCATGAATCTTCTTGACCCATGGGCTGCGAAATTTGTCGCCTATGCGGCGTCTGCCACAAAAAACATGCAAAACACGCCTACGCCAGCCTACGCCCCCAAGCAGAATGCCTACATCCAACCATTTGCAGGGTTGACGCTTATATAAATCTTTACATCTATGAAAAGTAAACGCTGCTCAAAAGAGCTCGAAAGAACAAAGAAAGAAAAATCTGATCTTAGTGAAACCAGTAGTATATAGGAGCCAAAAGCACTGGCTCCTTGCGAAGAACCCAAATGCCAAAAGAGTTGCTTCCAAACCTGCTTCCAAAAAGACATCGGCATCTCTGCCCCGAAAAAAAGAGCCTGCGCATCCGCCCGGTCCGGGTTCAGTGGTCCAAGTCTTTCTGAACCCAAGACGAGCCAAGGTGCTTGTCCACCACCACACCGTGCATGCCGGGCTCCTTGGTGATTTGCTTGACTTTCTGCCGACCGTCCAAATTGGCCTGAAAGAGCTGCCGACCAAGCCAGCTGCCCTCGGAAGTCCCCACAAAATAGACCTGGGAATTGTCCTGCCAAAGGAGAGAGGTTTTTGCCCAGTTGGGGCACCTGGTGGAGGATTCTTGGATTTTCGGATGAATCATGGGCTGAGAAAACGGAGTTTAAAAAGGAACCGTGACTTGTCCTCGTCCACTGCAACCACATCTTCCACTTGCCAGTCCCCATCGGTCACAGGCGACAGTTTGCCCACACCTTTGGCATCTTCCCAGATGTAGAGGTGCCGGAAGCCTGAGCGCTCACTGGCCCAGAGAAAGCGACCGTTCTTCAGGGGCTTCAACATGTTGTGTACGTTGATCCACACGTCGGTCTTCTCTGTGAAGAGAGTGCGCACGGATCCTTGCAACAAATTCCGGAATGTGTTAGTCTGTTCACGAGACATACTACTGTAATTAGTATTGCAAGATTCACACTGAATAACAAGGTATCTGAGACACATTGAAAGATATTGAAAGTGCCTTTTGTTTCAAATCTGCTCGAAGAGGAAGAGTGTCTGTATGGGTCATCCGAGATCCTTTGGACCCCCAGCCGCTCCTGTTTTGGCATCCAACTTCAGCACGGCCAGCTGGGTCTGCTCTCGATTCAACACTTGAGAGATGATCGAGCCATCGGGCATCCACTGTACCCGCGCCAAGTAGAAATCTTCTCCAAAAGGGCCGGTGAGGTCGAAGCTTGTGACTTTGGGAGCACCTGGAGCTGCGTCACCCTCCCCTTCTGTGGCCGAAACGACGCAAAGCTTCACCTTGGGGTTTTCATCGCCTGCGAAGGGGTAGCGGTGATCCTCCTGTGCTTCAGCACCCACCGAATCGGAGCCGGAATGCATGATGCGAAACTGAGGGATGTGAGCCTCTGTCACCTCCTCATAGGCAACCATCTTTCCATCAGGAGAAATCCAAAAGCCTCGCCAGCTAAACTGAACAGCTTCACCCTCCAAACTGAACAGCTTTCAACATGTTTCGTCCAGGCTTAGTTGGTACCAACTTTGAAAGAAAGCAGAGCTGCAAACACTTAAGACATGCACAAACACTTAACACATACCCATACAAGAAAATCGAGGACGGGCCTCTTTTTGAGGCCCCCCAAAAATAACAAAAATATCACTGTGACACTTCGTGCCTTCATACCTATCCAGCTCCTCCTGAGCCAGAAAGTCTGCAAGGCCATGAGTCACGCCGGTGCCGCGCGCACCAGCTGTGAGTTGCCGTGGCTTCTTTGACCCATCAGCCGGCACACAGTAAACCTCGTCCTTCCACACAAAGCCTCAGAAAAGAGTCGCCGATGTCTGAGACCCTAGACCATCCATGGGTCTTAGATGGTCTTAGTCACTCTAAGTCTAAGTCCATGTTGTCCTAGTACCAAAAGTATGTCGTCCTTGCGGGCAATTTTGCGACAACACTTGCATGTCTTTTCGATGTTTGACAAACAAAATCTGGATGAAAGGACCTTTCGAAAGGACTGCCACCCTTTTTAAATAAACCCAGCAACAGACTAGAGATCCGTCCTCCGAGATTTGTGGATCAATGATCGGACCAGGCCCCAAAGGTGCTGCCTGTGGATCAAACAAGCGCTGGAGCTCAGCGTCGGCATCAATGCCCTCTCGGATGTACAAGGCACCTCCTAAGGGGACCAGCACTTTGCCTTTCGAGCTGCCAGCCACCTTGAAGGAGGTCACACCAGTATTCATGATCCGGGCTCGTTCTCTTCTCAACTTCTCTTCAAGAGAGAGTTCTTTTTCTTCCCCGGCTCCGGGAGGCGTACAAGCCAAAGGAAACGTCTTTCCGGTGGAGACCTCTGTGGCGTAGAGTTGCCGAGATAAGCTTCCGTATTCTGAGCTTTTCAAGTAAAGCACATGAGAGCCATCTGGCAAAAAAGTTGAAGACCCAATGGTCTGGAACCCTGGGCGTGGCAATTTGGCGATCTGCGCAAAGCTGAGCTCCTTGGGTTTGTAGGTTGATACGAACATGTAGCAATTACCTTCAGTGTACATTGACATTGAAGATACATGATACAAAATGATACAAATGTAAAGACTGTAAAAATTACAGAAGAATTGTACACAATTGTCTCGCCTCGTTTGCTTACTTTCAAGATTTTCACCATTGAGACGCCTTCCTTTTCACCCCTTTCTTGCTCCCGTCCTTCTCTTTTGGCCCGTCCGCCACCAGCACCCCTCCTGCAGCCATCCCTGCAGCCGTCGCTGCTGCGACGATGGCCGCCCGGGATTTCCCATGAGTGCCTGTTGCCTTTAGCCGGGATCCGGCCACAGCACTCAGGTGTCTGGAAAGTACATCGATCCGCCCCCCTGGCCTCCTTAAGGCCAAGCTAGCACCACTGGAGATCCGGACAAAGGATGGACCAAGAAACCTCTTCCCCACCGCAGCGGCAATGGCACTCATGCAAATGATGTGCCTCTTTTTTAGAAGGCGCTTGAAAGGCATCTGTCAGCGCGTGTCCTAAATGCCTCCACACTTGAGCAGGAAGCCATGACGAACAGTGGGTCCAGTCTGCCTTTTGTTTATCATGCAAACGTCCCATCAGAAAGAAAAACAGCAACAGTGTTTCTCGGTTTGGAAACTAAAGAAAACACACGTTCATTGGTGTGGGTTGGCAGTTGAGACCCCCTCACCAGTCCTCTGCAAACCAAAGGCACATTGGCCCAGTGCTCCTTTCCAGGGATATGTCCTGAAGACACCCCAAGTCACTTCCACTGTACTGTGTGCGCTATGCTCCATCACCCACAAGATCTTCACACAATGTTAAAAACATGAGGGGAAGGGATGGCCGTCGGGTTTTCTTCCCAGACTCTCCAACCAACGGGAGGATGTCCCACTTCCGAGACCAGTCGAGGGCCCCGCGACCAACTGGAGGCAAGAATCGCTGGAAACGGAGCTACTTTTCGCTCGTCGCTGCTCGTCGCTCTCCCCTCTTCGTCTACTAGCGATAGCCTCCAAGCTGCACCTATACTAGCGATGGCCTAGCCTACTAGCGATGGCCTCTAACCTACTAGCGATGGCCTCTAATAGCGATGGCCTCTGACCTACTAGCGATGGAGTCTACCTAATAGCGATGACCTCTAACCTACTAGCGATGGCCTCCAGCCTACTAGCGATGGCCTCTACCTAATAGCGATGCCCTCTAACCTAATAGGGATGGCCTCCTACCTATTTAATGGCGATGGCCTCCAACCTCTACTAGCGATGGACTCCTACCTATTTAAAAGCGATGGCATCCAACCTACTAGCGATAATGGCCTCCAATCTATAGCGATGGCCTCCAACGGAAAAGCGATGGCCTCCAACCTACTAGCGATGGCCTCCAGCCAAATAGCCACGGTACCAGCGATGGCCTCTAAAACCTAATAGCGATGGCCTCCAACCTAATAGCGATGGCCTCCCACTCCAACCTAATGTAGCGATGGCCTCCAACCTAATAGCGATGGCCTCCCACCTAATATAGCGATAGCCTCCCACCTACTAGCGATGGCCTCCACCTAATAGCGATGGCCTCCAACCTAATAGCGATGGCCTCCCACCTAATAGCGATGGCTTCCAACCTAATATAGCGATGGCCTCCAACCTAATAGCGATGGCCTCCCACCTAATAGCGATGGCCTCCAGCCGCGACGGCCTCCAACCCAACAGCCGTGACCTCCAACGTGGCCTCCACCTAATAGCCATGGCCTCCACCTAATAGTGATGGCCTCCAACCTCCAACCTAATAGCGATGGTCCTCCGGGACCATGACGTAGTACACCCGTCCGTTGGCCATGCCTCGGGGTTCCTCGGCGCATGGCTCCGACCGAGGGGGATGACCGAGGTCGTGCGAGCGACCGCGTGCGAGCGCTGCCTGCGAAAGAGTGTTGAGTGAAAAGGATCTGAACACGTATGCTGCCGTATGCGACATATCTTTGTATACACACGTATGAGCAGCTTGTCCGAGCAGGCCCTGTAATCTGCCGACCTGCCTAGGTGACGTGTAGGCGGGGCGGCGCCGGGACACCGCAGGGTGAAACAGTTGCCCAGGCCAAGCAGATCCAGAGCGTTTCGCCGCGGCGCCGCTGCCTTTTTCTGCCCAAGCAGATCCAGAGTGCGTCGAAGGTGCCGTTTCTATGTGGGCGCGTGCCAGGCAACTGTTTTATATATGGACTCCCGAAGGCAACGTGCCAGGCGACTGCCAGGCGACGTTAAGCATTTTGGCTGGCTGCGGCTCGCCCGTTTTTGGTGTGGAATTACATGGTGGAAAGCTGCGGCGACGGAAATTGGTGGAGCCCGAAAGGGAGTGAGCCTCGGGCTCCCGAAGGGAACGTGCCAGGCAACGTGCCAGGCAACGTGCCAGGCGACGTTGGGCTGCGGCTCGCCCGTTTTTGGTGTGGAATTACATGGTGAAAAGCTGCGGCGAAGGAAATTGCCGGGAGCCTTGGGAGTGAGCCTCTGGCACGTGCCAGACAACTGTTGTATGGACTCCCGAAGGCAACGTGCCAGGCCGAACAGGTATTTTAGTGTACCTCCGTGAAGGATCTGCTGGGGCCGCCCAGCCATTAAAACATGCGGAAAAGACACGCGGAAAAGATCGGAAATTTTCCGAAATCATTTCACAACCACGTCAAAGGCCTTCACCGGTCATACGTGGAGGCCTTGGCCGGTCCCCAGTCCTATGTGGAGGCCTTGGCCAGTCCCACGTGGAGGCCTTCACCGGTCCTACGTGAAATCCTTGGCCGGTCCCTTCACCGGTCCTATGTGGAGGCCTTGGCCCCACGTCAAGGCCTTCACCGGTCCTATGTCAGGGCGCTGGTGGAGGCCATGGCCGGTCCTACGTGGAGGCCTCCGCCGGTCCTATGTCAAGGCCTTGGTCCCACGTGGAGGCCTTCACCGGTCCTATGTGGAGGCGCTGGTGGAGGCCATGGCCGGTCCTACGTGGAGGCCTCACGTGGAGGCCTTCACCGGTCCTATGTGGAGGCGCTGGTGGAGGCCATGGCCGGTCCTACGTGGAGGTCCCCACTGGCCGGGCCTATGCGGAGGCCTTGGCCGGTCCCACGTGGAGGCCTTCACGCGTCCTATGTGGAGGCCCTGGCCAGTCCGACGTGGAGGCCTTCACCGGTCCTACGTGGAGGCCTTGTGGAGGCCATGGCCGGTCCTACGTGGAGGCCTTGGCCCGCCCCATGTGAAGGCCAGTGGAGGCCTTGGCCCGCCCCATGTGAAGGCCAGAGGCCTTGGCCGGTCGCCAGTCCTATGTGGAGGCCTTGGCCAGTCCTGTCCTACGTCGAGGGCTTGGCCGGTCCCACATAAAGGCCTTCGCCGGTCCTACATCGAGGCCTTGGCGGCCCTACGTGGAGGCCTTCACACGTCCTATGTGGAGGCCTTGGCCGGTCCCACGTGGAGGCCTTCACCGGTCCTATGTGGAGGCCTTGGCCGGTCCCATGTGGAGGCCTTCACCGGTCCTATGTGGAGGCCTTGGCCGGTTTCACGTGGAGGCCTTCACCGGTCCTATGTGGAAGCCTTCGTGGAGGCCTTCAGTCCTATGTGGGGGCCTTTGCCGGTCCCACATGGAGGCCTTCACCGGTCCTATGTGGAGGCCTTGGCCGGTCCCACGTGGAGGCCTTGGCCGGTCCCATGTCAAGGCCTTCACCGGCCCTACCTGGAGGCCTTCACCGGTCCGTGGAGGCCTTGGCCGGTCGGCCTTGGCCGGTCCCACGTGGAGGCCCACGTGGAGCCGGTCCCACGTGGAGGCCTCGGCCGGCCCTGCGTGGAGGCCTTCACCGGTCCCACGTGGAGGCCTTCGCCGGTCCCACGTGGAGGCCTTGGCCGGCCCTGCGTGGAGGCCTTCACCGGGTCCTATGTGGAGGCCTTCGTGGAGGCCCTCACCGGTCCTATGTGGGGGCCTTGGCCGGTCCCACATGGAGGCCTTCACCGGTCCTATGTGGAGGCCTTCGCCGGCCCTATTTGAAGGGCCTTGGCCCGTCCCACGTGGAGGCCTGAGGCCTTCACCGGTTGTGGAGGCCTTGGCCGGTCCTACATCCTTCACCGGCCCTGGACGGAGGCCTCACCGGTCCTACATGGAGGCCTTGGCCGGTCCCACGTGGAGGCCTTCACCGGTCCTATGTGGAGGCCTTCGCCTACGTGGAGGCCTTGGCCGGCCTTGGCCAGTCGTACATCCTTCACCGGTCCTACACGGAGGCTTCATCGGTCCTATGTGGAGGCCTTGGCCAATCCCACATGGAGGCCTTCACCGGTCCTACGTGGAGGCCTTGGCCGGTCCTACGTGGAGGGCTTCACCGGTCCTACGTGGAGGACTTCACCGGCCCTACCCATGACGTCAGGCCAGCCAAGGCCCCCACATAAAGCCCGAGAATCCTGCTATGTAGTGTTGATTGTTTTGAATTATGAAGGAACTGCACATTTAAATATGCGGAGCCGCCCGTCGCCCCCAAACATACGGACAATATAGGAATTATACAGTACCTCCGGGAGGATCAGCCCTGGGCCGCCCTCCACATATTTTAATGGCGTAACCGTAAGCTGTTCGGGAGAAAATGAGTGCCTAGTCATGTGTTCCTAGGAGCATGATGTCGACATGAGTTCATTTGTTGGCAAAAATGCAACTATGGTTCCTTTTGCATACTCGTATATCATTACCTTATCTTGTAGTTTTGCTGCGCTCGAGCCTGCTTATAATTCTTGGAGCTCTAGGCCAATGTCTGATCGACCAGGGATTAGTGAAAGCCGCTCTTTCTTAGAGGGGTATATCGACTGCCCAAGCGATGGCAAAACCAGCTGCACTTGATTTTGCCACAAGTTTTGTGCAAGCATAAGAGATCATACTTTTGAACTCCCGTGAAACCGACCAATCATCATCGTCATCATCATCATCATGATCATCATCCTCATCCATCAGTCATCCAGAGGCCACGGGGAGGGCAGTGTGTGACCATGCACGACCACTCTTTGTTTGAATCGTATGTGCTTGACCACTTTTCAACTGATCGTCACAATAAAGTAGTACAAACCACATCGACCAAAATATTTTGGGATTTCGAAGGTCTAGGCAGAGACAGAGACAGAGACAGAGACACAGACAGACAGGCAAACAAACAGATCCCGACACGGTCTCAAAAAGAGAGAGAGAGAGA